GATTTGGCGCAGGTGCGCCCAGAAGGGCGGAGACGAGACGAGACGAGGACGGGGGATGGGCAGGCCCCCCCGCCCTCGCTTGGGAAAACTCGCCGAGGTAATTCAGAAGCACGACGGGCGAGAATGCTGGAACGATTGGGCCGCCCCTCCGAAGAATTGTTGTTGCACCTTTCGGGGATGCTATTCTCTAGCTTCGTTGGCGGCGCCTTTCATATTTGTGAGGAATTTTGTGGGGGCTACGGAGAGGAGTGAAAATAGCTGTGAATAACGTTTCCTTTAACGGTGTTGGTTTTAAACAAATGCATACATTTTACGCAATTCTTTCATTAAATTTAGAAAGTTGATGTGCAATATTTTGAGACTTCTTCAGTGAAAGCGATCATCCTCGCAGAAGGAAGCCAGTGATTTGCAATATGTTTTTTTTTTTTGTTCATTATTTAACTGGGTTTATTATAACTGTGCCAAATATTCAAGTTTGTATGATGAAAAGTTAACTTATTGCAAAATGAAAATAATTGAATAGGAACAAGGCGAACTCGTTTTTAATACTATAGGCCCTCTGAAGGGCTTTCTCTTCTTGCTCAAGGAGGCGGGAGTAGACTTCCGTCGAGAATGGTTGGGATCCGTTCCCGCGGAGGCGTGGGAGAAGGCGAGCGCTGCCAAGAAAGCAAAGGTTTCACAAACGGTGGTGGCGGAGCATTCAGGATCTGTTCGAACGGTCTATTCGTGGCATTTTGACAGGGTTTCTGATGGATTTGTTACCTTCGGACATCTTGACTGGCTTAGTGCTTTGGAGCCAGGAACACCCAACGTTTTTGAGCTGCAGATTCGTGTTTTCGTAACGATTAGCAGATTAGTTTGCCTTCGCGGGAGTCTCGCCAGGTTGGAAAGAAAGCCTCGCTGAAATATATAATTATCAGTATTTACACGATTTTCTGAAATTAATTTGCGGTAATGTGATTCAAATAAAATTAATTCATCGATAACTAATGGCATGATGTACGATAGAACTATTGTTATTGGTTTCTTTCTCATCGTACGAGAGTTAAACTTGATTAGCGTACGCGGCCGGGAAGTAGACCTTGTGAAGCTCCAACCCCTTCTTCCTCCTTTCTACTTCCACATGTTTCACTTTCTACGGTCATGTGGGAGGAATAAGATGTTACAGTGGGGGATTACTGTAGTAATAATATCTGTAATAGAAATTAATAAATGTAGAAGAACTCAAAACATTTCATTTTGTAGATCACGGGATAACGAAATTAACTCGAGACGCTGAGATTCCAAAACAATGTTTTTAAAGGTGTAAGAAACACTTTCGTAAGAGTTAAATGCAACCCTCACAAATACTCCGTTAATGGGGATTGTGTTGGGTTTTTGAAACAAGAAAATGGCGTTCTACCGGGAAGCAGATTCATCGTTTCTGACAACCTATGCTACAAAGTGCAAATATCTTCAAACATTGTTATAGAACGTCAAAAAATGTTTCATTGTGCGCTACATAAACAAAACTCTGATAATTGAGTCGGGTTCAGTGGTAACGTATGCTAATGTTGCAGGTTCGATGTGCCTCTGCCCTTTTACCTATATTACTATACACCGAAAAAAAAAAAACACAACAAAAACAAAAAACAAAAAAAAAAAAAACACGTTGGAGTGTACCAGATCCATGATACTGTAACAAGGAAACTTGTTACAGTATCATGGATCTGGTATACTCCAATGGTTCTTTTTTTCGGTGTATGTGCAAAATTCTAAATATTTCGTCTTAGATCTGTTCGATGCGGAGCAAGGTGTTCCTCCTCAGCAGTAGCAAATTACGGGTTTTATGACAACAGTTCTTTTCGTTATCTTTCCGTCGGGTATTACACATGGAGAGGACACGGTAAGATTTTTCCCCTGCGAAGCGCGGAATGCGTGTCCAGTGGAAACTTCCAGCCCCTTTCTTTCGCTCGGCCCCTTCGGCGGGGAGGTGGGCGTGCCGCGCGGCGGTGCCTGGCGCTGACGTCCGGGGCCGTCGTTATCCGGCCACGTGCCTTTTCTTTTCACCGTCCGCGTGACGCTTCCGTCTCCGTGGGAACGACTTGCGCAGGAAGCCTTCGCGGTCGTTACAACCC